CCCCAAAACCCCAAAACCCCAAAACCCCAAAACCCCTTAGTTATTTTAATAGCTTGAAAATATCTATAAATGGTTCTTATTCTGGCTACTCTTCATCCTCAATGGGTTCTTGGTGACAGGCGATACGTAGGGTTTCCCCTTCGCGTCAGTCGGGAATAAAGACATTAAATGAGGATCCATAGCAGAGCATATGAAGGAATTATGTTTAGAGGTAGGCCTAGATGTTAGTAAATAATTACATTGAGCTTCGTTTGCTATTATTGGATTTGAGGGATAAGGACAGTTGGTTTCTGAAGTCTTTCTTGATACGGAGATAGCGAGGGTCCTTTATGGGCTTTGGATGAGAAGGGGGGTCAGAGAGATGAGTGGGTAAGTGGTTTTGGGTGCTAAAGAGAGTGGATTTAAGGTGTACGTTGAGGATTTTGAGGGGTTTTGGGGGGTAGGGTTGAGAGTTGGGAGTTTTAAATTTTCTAATATGTTCTTCTTTGTTGGTGAGCTTGATTTATATGAGTCTATATGGTAATTAAAATTTTACAATTAAAGCTGTCTTGACGTTTTTTAATTCTAGATTTCTCCAAAGACTTATTAAGATGATACTTCCTATTCTGTTTAAAACCTGTCATTTCCAACTTATCAACTCTCTCTGTGCTTTCAATATCAAACAATTTCTTCCCCTTCTTCACCTGAGGTGTGATCAAAACCGGGACTATGGCCGAAAGCCCTTGTGCTAGCTTCAACCCATCTCCACCCCCCTTCTCTTCCTCACATCCCCTCATCTCCCCTCCTTCAGACCCCATCTCTGTGTCCTAAACACCCTATTACTCCCATTCACATCTCTTCTAAATCCTGACCACCCCAATGTCTTAAACCAGCCCACTCGACCAGTGACTAACTAAAACCTGTACTTACTCTGGGCCTGCCTTGGCCTATAGAGTTATTGGGAATTTTTGGGTTGAAGATTGGAGAAATTTCTGAAGAAGTGCTTCTGAGGGGTTTTAGCTTGGGGCTGATGAGGCTGAGGTGTTGGATGTTGAAGTTTGAGATTTTATGAGCTGGTTTTTTGGGTTTTCGAGGAGATAAGCTTTTGTTCTTTGGGATGGGGATATTTTTGGGGGTTTTGGATTCTTCTAGAATGGTGTCTGTGTGAAGATTAGAGGGATATTAACTTGGAAAGAAAGATGGCCACTTTCATACTACATGAAAGAATTTAGTGCTTACCAATAGAACTGCTATCTTCTTTAACTTTCTGCAAGGTTTTTAGTGGAGATCTTTTGAATGATTGAGCTCATAGTTCGGTAAGTCTCTTGTTCTTCTCTAGTGAAAGAGTGAAAGGTTTGCTAGGTGAGGCTGAGCCAGCATCGCTAGGAGCTCTATGTATCTTCTTAGGAGACCTGAGAGATAGCTGCTTTGTAAAATGTTTCTCAAGATCCTTCGTTTCAATAATTTTAGGAGACCTATCTTTAGAACTTGATCTTTCACTGATCTGATAATGGTGAGCCGGAGTAGATGATGTAGCCTTTATTAAGTCAGAATATGTAATCTTCTTCAATGGCTTTGAAGGCCTAGCAACTTCTCTGCTCTTTGAAAGAGATTCTGAAAAATCCTGGATACTAGGTAAAGACTTTTTAGTAAAATCTGATTTTATAACTTCTCGGTTGATACTTTTCAAAAGAAGTTCGTTCTAAAAATTATGGAAAGAATTACCAAAGAGCTGTTATGGCTTTTATTTATTGTATTTCTCATTTAATTTGATAAGAAGCCTAAAATTATTATGGTATTCTTACTGTTCCAAAGCAAGGTTGATTCTTTCCTCCATCAGAGCAAGTTTTTGCTTAATATTTTTCAAAATATGACTATGACCACTAAAAAGTGTGGTAAAGTCCCCCTTGTTGATTTTATATACTTTCGCTTCATTTGAGAGGCATTTAAGGTTGACAATGCTATAAGGACAGCCTATTATTGACTCAACCATGCCGAAAATTTCAAATTTCTCGAATCACAGAAGCCTAGAGGTGACTTTGGAGTATCCTTTAGTTGCCTTCTTAAACTCCTTATACTCCAAGTTTTCATCTTGAGTGATATTATCGAACATTGGAGCAAAACCCTTGGCATTCTGAGAGGTAGAGAGGTACTTAGTATATGTAATATTGCTCATATCAATCTTCCTCTTCACTTTGGATTCATTCTTCTTAAAATAAATAGTCTTTGTAATCTCAAATTGTCCATCAGTAATGAAATAGATCTGGTGGATCGGATCGCCCTCTTTCAAGATAGTAGTACCAAATTTGGTAGGGCACTCTTTGAGAAGAGTGCAGACCTTCTCTTTGGTGGATTCTCCCAGTTCTTTAAATATCATGAAGTTCTCCATTAGATCAACTTGTTTGAGTAGCTTGCTCTTGTAAAGCCTTCCCATTATTGAAGTGAAGTCCTTCTTCTCAAGTATTGCAAATATGGAATCAGTCATTGTAGTAATAGTGGCTGTACGAGGAACTTTATGTAACAGAGCAATCTCTCCAAACCCAGCTCCTTCGCTTAGTTCTGCCACCTTGTTCATAACTCTGAACTCAAAAGTGTATGCAGGGTTATCTAGATCCTCTGGATTACTACTCTTCCTTTTATTAGAGTGGGATGAGATACCTGATTCCAGAGGTTCAAATTTAGGAAATTCAAAAGTTCCTTGGCTCTCTAAATTCTCATCGATGAGTTTCTTCTCTATTTTATTATTTGAAATAGCTGCAATTCAAGGTAAGCTGACCTCTCTCTCCAATTTTAACTCAGTCAGGGAAGCAGGGCCGAAGAAAATCAAGTGCTGACTGATACGATTCATCTTTTACGATGTACTTATGATTCTTGTACATAAACTTTACTAGTTGCTGTAATGTGTATGGTCTTGCTTCTTCAGTGGTAGGAACACGCACAGAAACTTTTCCTTGTAAGATGATATAAAAAGTGTCTCCATACTCTCCAAATTCTATGATCACTTTGTTCGGAGGGATTATGTGAGACTGACTTTCACCCTTCCTTCGAGAGGAACTCAAGCTGTCAATATTTAGCAACTAGAGATTGATTAGAGAATAATACCTTAATCTTTTTAAAAATCATTTCAAGTATTTTATGTCCATTTTCTTTTTCAAGCTTATCAAAGAAGTTGTTCTTGCTTTAAGAGTAAGACAAGATCTTACTTGTTTTCAAAGAAATCTGATAATTGCTGTAGTTGCTTATTTTGATCTAGATTCAGGATCTGCACTTAGGATAGAAACATTGTCTTCTAAGGTTCCTATGGAAATGCTGTTATATAAATTTTAGAAAAGAAATTCTATGTCCTTTTAAAACTAAAAATTCCCTCTAAACCTTTGTATTTTCAGCTCTAAACTTCCCTAATCTTTAACATCCAACAAATCCCAAGAAATTCTCTATCTCAAATTTCAACTCAAACTTATCAAAAATAACATCTGTAAAAACCTGTGAATTCTAAATCGTACCACCTCTTCATTTTATCTCTCTAAACCCATCTATCTCATTTTATAGCACTCTTAATCTCTACACTATTCCCGATCCCCTTACTTTACCTCCACTTTCCTCATATTCTGGTGCTAAAGGATCAAATTTAGCTGATTCAAATCTATCTAATATATCCATATTATTATTACTTTAATTATCATTACTGTTTTTTAAAGGGGTTTTGGGGTTTTGGGGTTTTGGGGG